TAAATAATACAAATTTCCACCAAAATTAGGTTCAGAAAAGTAACCTGAAAATAAAAGTTTTTTATGTAAAATGTAAATACCTACTTCATTTTTAATTTATCAAAGAACATTCCAAGTGACGCTACATATAGTATAATTGACGCCGTATCCCATCGGGGATTTTTCAATCAATAAATTTAATTTATTACAAACAATTATTTATATCAAATAAATCATATTTGCATATTTAGTTTGCATTAATGTTATACCTAACTGGTTATTGACTTTAACTATCTCAGTAAGCCGTGATCATGGTACCGTCCCCAAATGTCGGTTTGTTTGAAAAAAAATAATTCGCTATTTAGATCCGAAAAAATTGTATATTCCTATGTGAGATATCATAATAATAAATTTGGTAAGTTAAATTAAGTCTAAAATATTACATAGGGTTGTGTATGGTATTACAGATAAGCATTATTGGTTACTGTTATAAACAAACCACAAACTCACCTAGAAAGTGTGGATATAGTCGAGAATGAGACGTGTTTGCCTAGTAGATGTCTGTTCAGTGAGGCCTTGTCTTAATCAGGCATTGGTTGGAACAATTCAGTAACAAAAGTACCCTATCCTAGATTATCTACTAATTATATTTATATTATATATATTATGTTAAAACTCTCTGGAAAAGATTGAGTGTCTGGAAATGTACTGTATAACGTCGTCAGTGCATATAGTGAACATAAATATCAATTCTTTATATAAATGGGAGGTATATGTTGCTCCCCACCGATTTATATTTACTTTGTAGTAAATTTATAAGGTAATGTATTTACACGGTAATAAACAAAGTGAATTGATTTACTAAATATGCCTACTAGGAACGAAAATCAATGTCTTAGTGAAGATAGAACATTTCATGGAGGCTGAAAAGATTTTGTCTTTGAATAGCTAAGCTTATTTTATGACCTCTGGTCAATAAATTCGCAGTCATAGGACACAAGTGGTGAACTACAGGCACATATAGGACTTGTCAACTTATGTCTCAGGGTGACAGTACAGTACAGTACCCTTCAGATCTTTGCGATTTAAAGCTCTGAGTGGCACTGCAACTGTTTTGGATAGGTGTGTAGCTTACCATCATGCGCACGACTTGTTCGTCCAGTCACTTAATATTATAAAAAACAGACCAATTTGCTAGGGTGCAAAACTAACACATTTTTAATTATAAAATAAAACAACTTTTTATGGATTTTTCAATAAAAATTATAGTTTATTTTCAACGAAACAGTTCATACTTCTTAATTAAAACTTAATCATAAACTTAAAACTAATACAATAAATGCATTTATCACTCAATAACCTACTGTTCTTGACATTTACCTCCACGGGTTCAACTATTTTTAAACATTAGAAAATACCTGTATCCAGCATTGAGACTCGTACAAGTTGATGATGATGATGATGGTTATGTTAATGATGAAGAATGTAAATCAGCATTTCAATGATGACGGTTTCTTCTCAGAAGAGGCATGAGGATATGAGCTAGACGATTCTTCAACCTGTAACAATAACGTGTAGCGTCAGTTTACTAGTTACACTTTTTTTGCTATTGAACAAACATGGCGTACGGTAGGTAGGAGAACCACGGAAAATAACATTGGATTTGAAACTAAATCTACGAAAACAAGTTTCTTAAACCAAACCTGCATGTAGGTAGTGTTAAGTCGCTATAATCAGTTCTGATGAAGCTTATGAGGTGGGGAACATCCATAATTTACAGTATTCTCAATGGGTACATACATATATATCAGTGTGCAACATATTTCGTAAATGTTTTACCCCAACTCTCAAATATAATCTTCAAGGGCTTGAACTTAAATGTCATTTACGTATGTACTTAGTTATTATTTTCTGATGTGATAAAAGTGCTACAAAATAAAAATATGATAAATACGTTTTAGGAAAGTTCAATAGGAATTTCATTAATTCAGTTTTAAATAGCGATTTTTACATTACATTTTGATTAATAGACAATAAAAAAAACGTCTGGCGTACATCAACGCGATATTCCTAACGATCTCTATCTATCTCATTAGACAAAATCTAGGTAGAAGCTTATACTGTCGGACTAAAGACTGAATAAACATGAGTGTCACCTTTGCGCTTTCTCCTTTTTGATGTTAGTCGCCTCCTTTTTCTGGCCTTGAACGTCCGAATTAAGTGATACGTCACTCAACGGCTCCTCTGGTTTATCAGATTCCGGTTTTCCTTCCTGCGGCTTTGGTGCGAGAATCGGTTTTGGTGGCTTGTGTTCAGCAGGTGGTTTTGGCTTGAGCTCATTCAAATCCTCCAAATCGAACATGTCATTGAAATCAATTTCAGAAGCGGCGGCCAATAAAGATTCTGCAGGTGCAAAAGCAAATACGACACCGTCGATATTTAGTCGATAATTTTCTGTTCCATTTTGCCGCTGGTCGTAATGTTGCCCATAGCCATCTTTGAAGTCTACAGGAGCGGATGAGGCGAGGTTGAGCAGCGTGATGAGCACGGCCACCTCGCAAACGATTCTCTTGTAGTTGACCATCGCGGAAGGTGTATAAAGGCGCACTGAGCGACGGAACCACGGCTGCGGTCGCTGGGCCCGCTATGTACCCGATCTTGGCTGCATCTTTTATTTATTCGCCGAGATAGCGGTATAGCTGTATCGACCAACCGCACCACCTGTACCTGACTAACTGGAAATGGTACACCAGAGACTTACAATAAATATGCGGCTTTGATTTTTCTTATGGGTGTTTGAAACCCCAACGCAATATCGTTTTAATGAGTTTACGATTATTGATTGCCTTGGATAAATAAAATAAGCCTTTATTACTACTAGTTAGCCTAGTTGACAGTTACAATTATTACTAGTTACATTTACATGTTATTAGCTACATTTATATACTATAACTTACTTTTACATATTATACGGTGCACTATTATTTACATTTACCTTATTAGCTAGCAATAGTAATAGTCGCCTCCTCGGCGTAGGCCTCCCCTATTGTCTTCCAAAACTCCCCATCCCTGGCTTTCATAATCCATTGTGGTCCTGCTTTCTCTATAAAAGTGTCTTCCCATCTTTTCCTCGGCCGACCTTTACGTCTTGTTTCGTTTCTTGGTATCCACTCAGTCACTCTCTTTGTCCACCGATTATTTTCCATTCTATACGTATATGCACTGCTCACTTCCATTTAAGAGATCGTATAGTTTTTATTACATTTGTTACTTTCGTTCTTACTCTGATTGCTGTATTCTTAATTATTTATCTTTGTCTTATCCCCTAATATACTTCTCTCCATTTTTCTTTGACAAATAGCTAGCTTATTTTCCTTGTATATGAAACTATTTTTCAATTCTAAATCACGTATGCTTGTTTTTTCAAACAAACCAACGTTTTGGGCGCTTTACAACTGTCATACCCGCGGCTGACTGTCAGCAGTCGTTTGCTTGGAAAAAAACCAAATATCTATATGGGATTTATATACGAAAATATAGTTTCATTTCCATTGTGTAGGTATCACAGAACCTCGATTGCCTTTTGACGTTAACTCGCTATTGGTATCATAGTATCTATCTATTCAGCAAGGTAACAAGACGCAAGGGAATTTTGTAATTGAAAAGCTTATATAGGTATATATCTCGAAATTGTGAACGAGTGCATATTGTTCATTGTCTCGCTTGTCTAAAAAAAATCTTTCAATGATCATAATTTTAATAGAACGTAGTTTGACACTGTGGTATCGGGAAGGTCAAAAAAGCATCTGTATATTTTTAGAAGTTATTTTTATACAAAAACCGCGATAACCCGGTGACCCTGATACATGTGCGAGCGCAAACAATCGGTCATTTGCCGCACAATCACATATTAATAGCTTGATGATTCAATCGTTGAACACTTTGTATATAACATTCTAGTATAGAATGCCTGATTAGAAGAAAGATGCGGTGCTTCATGTACTATGGGTTAAGTAATTTAAATGTATTATAGCAAGGTGGCTTTTTTTAGGTAGATAGATTTTTTTACTGATAGTCCCGGAGTAGGGAAACCCTGTATCACGGGTGCCATGGACGCACACATAGGCATATTATTATTAAATTTTTAAAGACAATTTACACCCCAACTCTCAGTCCAGCGTGGTAACCGATTGGCCACAGACGCGACAGTCGCGCTGCAGTCACGCTCGGTTGCAGTCACGGTTCATTAACCGTTTACCGTAATTTGAAAAATTAACATGTACATCTCATTAGATGTACATGTTAATTTTTCAAATTAACCACGATGGATGAAAATCGAATTGAAGAATTTATAGAGAATGTAAAACAACACTCTGCAATATGGGATAGCAGTTCCGCCAGTTATTCTCATCGACCGGATAAAAAAAGGCGTGGGAAAACTTTAGTCTAAAATTTATTGACAATTCACCTGCTATGTTTTTTTCAGTTGTAGTTTAACTGAAAAAAACATAGCAGGTGAGTAATTTTTAATACCTATATGTGAAGTGTGTGCCCCAAGAACTAGGTAAAAGTAATGTTTCTTCGTCAGAATCCATTGCGTAACTGAGTCGAAAGATAAAAGTAATGATTATTGTTTTTGTTGGAACCAATAGGTCGCATTCAATATTATATACACTGTTATATACACACATATATATAGTATACTGCGGTGGGACCAATAGGTCCCATTCAAATTTGAAGAAAAAATTCCACCTCCATGAGCCCTGCCTCACCGTAGCCCAATAATTCATATTGAAATGTATGTCGGTAGTGGCTACGCTTCCAAATTGGCGACGTGGGTAATCCGTCGCAAAGTGAGCCATACTTTTCAATATGAATTATTTGGCTACGTAGCCAAATAATGGCGTCCCGGTGAGGCAGGGCTCTAAAGGTAGCAAATTACGTATCCGGTTTATTGGATTACACCCACTTTCTGTTAACCGATTGAAATTTGAAATGAAATGAAATATTAATTGATACAAGAGCAAGTACATATACATTATCATCCTATCTCCCAAACTAGGCGAACCTGTATCTTGGGAGACAGTACTTTCCCAATCAATGGCCATAATTCATGTACGTATTTTTCAAATCAAATCAAATCAAATCGTTTATTTGCATAAAACATGGTGGTCATGATAACACAGTAATATACATATAAGTTCAAGCATGTTTCGCCCGAAGATAATTTAGGCATGCAAAATAAATGAAAAATAGGTCGTCACATGGTTACATTTACATTAAGTTACATATAATTAATTTAAATTCTTTTACATAAAAATTATTGTAGAAATTCCCTAATACTATAATATACTTTATTCTTTAACAATTCATATAATTTAGTCTTAAATAATGTAATGGGCAAGTGTTTAATGTCATTTGGTAATCTATTGTAAATTCTGATACACATACACAAACAATTTTGATTATATTTTTCTACCTTAGGTACGTCAAAAAGAATTAGTCTATTGGGATTTCTATAATTTCGATGGTTCACGTCAATACTCTTAATAAACATTATCATTGTTATTATTATATAACTAATATGGTAGACGGCAGCAAATTCTAGGACGTAACTATTAATGCTATAATATTAGTAGGTACACATGTTATTATTATTAGTATCAGAGCATTTTTTTTTGTAGTAGTATAATTTGTTAGTTTATGTTATGTATCGAGTTCTTAGATTTTCGCGATTGTTACACATAGGAAATGAAACTATTTTTCCGGATTTAAATCGCGTATATTTGTTTTTTCGAACAAACCGACGTTTCAGGCCCTTTACAGGTCTCTTGGTCACGGTAAAGGGCCTGAAACGTCGGTTTGTTTGAAAAAACAAATATACGCAATTTAAATCCGGAAAAATAGTTTCATTTCTTATGTTATGTATATTCAATTAAACTTGACAAATAGACGTGATTCCACAAACTTTTGATGTTTTCGTTGGGTGATTCTTAAATCTTATAGTTAGGTACATAAATAAATTTGTTAAGCCGTAAATAGGTTCGGTAAGAAAAAAATTCGATCAAACTTTTACTTCGATAACTATCTCTCGTTTAATCCAGTCTAAAAACTAGTTTAAAACTACTGACGAATGAGTTTCAATACACGATGTGGTCCAATTAAGTTCAATAATCTGCAGTGACAAAGAAAACGAAAAGTTATCTTGTACCGTTTATCGTACAGTTAGACGAAAGGCAACTTGTTACCGGTGCGCGGGCGCCTCAATCTGTGCCAGCCGGTCCCAGGGATTAGTATAATTTATATGAGAGAACATGAATTACAATTTTGCAAAGTAGCGTAGTCTAAGAACATGTGACTAAACTCCAGTTTTGATCATTTAAAAACCTTCTAATACACAGCAAACAAAAATGGGAAAAGCTCTAAACGCCCATGTATATTAAAATGTACAAAATATAATTACATTTAAAGTAAGTATATATTTTATATGAAAGTCTGTTTATATAAATCAGTGGGACCACGATAAACAAGTCTCCCACGTTATTCCACTTGTGGGACAAATTAGTGGGACCACGAGAAAACAGCTTGAGACCGAAGCTAGTGTAGGGGTTGTAGTCACTTATGTGATCTGTGGTCGTAGTCGTGAGTTAGCGTAGCGACAGGCACTTTTCAAAGAGACATCATAAATATCATGAATCAATGAAATGAATCATGAATAATCATAAATTTTTATTTATGACTTTACTACGTGTATTCGATTCGATTGTCAAATGCGCACTTATATTTTATAAAAAAAAACAACCACGATGTTGTTTTTTTACAATGCTCTATTTTATAACTAAATACAACCCTACATATGTTTATTTAGCCAGTTCTAATACAAATCATACAGCCTACTCTACACTAGCATGCCCTCAATTTTGTATGAAAAACGCAACTGATTCATTAAACTATTTTAGAATATATAGTGCTAAAATTTTAATGGGATATTTTCATTATAACGTCCACGGGGCGTTTCCATGATCGTATATTATTGGACTTTTTGATGTAGGTACGCTAAACCTTAGGCGGTTCGTCAGGAGCAAAACTTTGTTTAAATAACTTTAACTTACCAAAAATTATAATCATTTTTTTTATACTTTACTTACCTACAAATCATAGATGAAAGTCGTGAAACATATTGTAAATTCTATACGCAATCTGACAGTCAAGGTAATGGTGGATTTATAGTATTTCTTTGTCTCAATTGTGACTTTACAATGAAAGATTTGAAAGCGTCAATTAGGAAGTAATATATCAGGCTTCGTAAAGCATGGTATTCGAAAATAATACCAAAAAGGTAAACAACTATCGCGGTTATATTATTAGCTAAAGTAGCAGTAGAGCGCCTTGTAAAAGAGTTCGTCCTGAGAAGCACTGCCACTTAAATTGTTTCTGACGACAAGCAGTAATGCTCACATTACTGCGTTGCAGTTTTGAAGAGAATTGGTGCTGGTGAAATACAGCCACATGGGGCTAGTCAACTTATGTCTCAGGGTCTGACACAGTGGGCATGAGAGCAAGTGAGACATACTTTGTGTGGGGGATCCGAAGACACAATGGTTTTGAGTCGGACTGATATATCTCCATTTCGCCATGTTGTCTCTACATCGGTCAACTTGTG